CCTCTCAACCTTCTCTTGCGGAGGCTGAATAGATCCAGTTTCTCTAGTCTCTCCTCGTAAGGCTTGGTCTGTAGGCCCTTAACCATACGAGTGGCCCTTCTCTGGACCCTCTCCAGGTTATCCGCATCCTTCTTGAAGTGTGGCGCCCAGGACTGCACGCAATACTCCAACTGCGGTCTGACCAGCGCCCGATAGAGGGGAAGTATCACCTCCTTGGACCTATTCGTCATGCATCTGCTGATGCACAATAAAGTGCCATTGGCTTTTTTGATGGCTTCGTCACACTGCCGACTCACGTTCATCTTGGAGTCCACTAGGACTCCAAGATCCCTTTCCACTTCCGTGCCACCCAGCAGGTCATTGCCTAGGCTGTAGGTGTGCTGGACATTTTTCCTCCCCAGGTGCAGCACTTTGCATTTCTCCTTGTTGAACTGCATTGTTGTTTTCTGCCCACTTGTCCAACCTGTCCAGATCTGCTTGCAGCTGTTCCCTGCCCTCTGGCGTGTCCACTTCTCCCCATAGCTTTGTGTCATCTGCAGACTTGGACAGAGTACATTTCACTCCCTCGTCCAAGTCACTGATGAAGACGTTAAAGAGTATCAGTCCAAGGACCGAACCCTGCGGGACCCCACTTCCCACACCCTTCCAGGTCAAAACCGACCCATCCACCACGACTCTCTGGGTGCTTCAGCTTAGTATTGATAAGCATACACCTCACAGAAGTCCTTCAGCATCTACATGTAACAGAGGCGAGTACTAATGCTTAGTGCCATCTCACACAATCTCTCTGACATTGTAACCTGTCACTGTACTACTTTACAATGTTCCCTCACTTCACTCCTCTGTTCCTCCCCTTGCCCCAGGGGTGGGCAAACTGCGGTCCATGGGCCAGATGTGGCCAGCCAGGCCATTCTATCCAGCCCGCAGGGCCCCTAAAAAATTTAGAAAATTAATATTTATCTGGCCCTGGCTACCTATCATGAGGCCCTCAATGGCTTGCCAAAACTCAGTAAGTGGCCCTCTGCCCAAAATAATTGCCCGTCCCTGCCTTACACTCTTCTCACTACCTATGGACTTTCCTCCGTTACTACCACCCCTCTCTCCACTGAAAACCAGCCCAAACTCCACCCCCCCTCATCCCTCCTGTTTCTCCTGTGACTGTTTCACACCAATTTCCCCCCCACCCTCTTGTGGAAATAACATAATGATTCTCAACTTGGCTGTTGCAGGGATGCTGTGAAGTCCTTTCATGGCTGCCATGAGTTATGTGCAACATTACCACTCAGGTGCGCAAACCCCTGCCCACCATTCATAAAATAAACCCAGAGATGTGAAACAGAAATCCACAGCATCAAACCCATTTGGCCTGGCTGCTGTCCCAGTTCTTTGCAATGGGGGAACTACTGGGTTATTTTACTGGAGCCAAAAAGCGGGGTTCCTCAAGTCTGATAGGGGGCAGGGGAGCTTGAGTCTAGAGCAGCAGTTTTCAACCTTTTTTGTACCAGGACCCATTTGTAAACATCGATGGCCAGTCCCGACCCAGTGCCCCTCACCCCCAACCTGCTGCCCTTAGAGTGAAGGGCAGCGGTGTGTGTGTGAGACATGGGGGGACGGCAGGGGAAATGCTGCGGTTCCCCACATTTTTTCCTTTAAAGGAAAATCTATCTGTAGAGTTTGTTCTCAACCCTCCCCTATATTCTTGCACCCCACTTTTGGGTCAAGACCCGCGGGTTGAGAAACCCTGATCTTGAGGTTAAGACCCAAAGCAGTGACCCTCCCGGCTCCTCCTGCCCCACCAGGTCCCAGGTGGGGATGAAATGTGTCAGCTCACAAAAGCTCATGCTTTTAGACATGCGCATGCAAGGCTGTAGGAACACACGCGTGTGTACGTGACACACACACGTGCATAGGCATTACATGTACATCCATTACACTACACAAACCCCACCCCGCCCCGCCCCCGGCTAGCGAGGAAGGTGCGAGTCTCCCCCAGCCCCGTCCCCCGAGGCTCCCCGGC